ATATGGCGGACGAGATTACAGTTGTGGCGCGCTGGGCGATATCTTCAAGATTTCTGTTGCTCTTCTTTCAGGTTAGTGCAAAAAATATTTGAAGGGATCTGTTGTAAATTACACTTAACTTTTGCGCATTATTTTTCAGAATTTTGTCGATGAATTCATCATCGATTACGATTCTTCTAGTATTATCAACAAAAACAGAGATTTAAGTCCACCATCTTCGCGGTGCGATTTGATATTTCAAAGAATTTTTGGAGGTTTTGGCAAATGGGATGCAGCTTATTTTTTGAAAATAGCCAAAGATGATTACAAATATGAACAATTCATGGCTTTCTTCCCATTGTTCCCTTGGATATTAAGGATCTTGGTACGAGTACTCCATCCACTTTTCCAGTATTTTCTGAACGAGCGAAGTTTATATCTGGCGATTGGATGGATGTTGAATTCAACTCTCTTCACATTAGCAGCTATTTCACTTAACAAATTGACTTTCAACCTGTTTGGTTCAAGGACTGCTGCTAAGTTGTCGTCACTTCTCTTTTGCTTTAACCCTGCGAGTGTCTTTATGTCAAGTTTGTACACAGAGAGTTTATTCTCTTGCCTACAGTTTACTGCCATGTATTTTCTAGAACAACAACGTACAACACTGGTAGTGTTACTTTTTAGTCTTGGCTGTGCGACTCGTTCGAATGGTGTTTTATCGTGTGGATTTCTTGCGCACAGAATGACCAAAAACTATGTCTCTTCAGGTTTATCTTCATTTATTTCAGACACTGGTTCTCTCACTTTTTGGCACTTACAAAGCGGAACAAAATTGCTCCTTAAACTTGTAATTTTAAATGGAATTGTGCTTTTTCCATTTATTATTTTCCAGTTGTATGGATATTATTTATACTGCATACCACCAAGGAGTTTTCTGGGAAATTTGACTAATAGTCCATGGTGTGATAAATTGGTGCCATTTTCTTACTCATATATTCAAGATAATTATTGGAATGTGGGCTTTTTATGCTACTTTGAATTCAAGCAAATACCAAACTTTGCTCTTGCTTCACCAGTTATTATTTTGAGTGTAAATGCAGTGTTGAATTACTGCTTGAACCATAGAAATATTGAAACAGTTAAGAATCTTGGTTTGTTCCAAAGAAAGGAAAAGTCAGACAAGATGACAAGGTATGTGCTTACATAAAGAGTAAGTTTCATAAGAAACTGTGGTGCTGCGTCAGGAGGGAAGGGTATTACAAGATAACTTGGTTTTATCAACTGATTTGATGAGGTAAATAGGCCACTGTGTAAAGAGTTCGTAAAACTGATGATTTGAGCTTGAACCCTTAATGTCAGAACAAAGTAGTTTAAGCAGTTTGATAATGTAAACCTCTAGTGCCCAGGATCTGAAAATGCCTCAATGGTTGCCAAGTGGCTATTAAAAACATCCTTGTTTCAATCAACCAACAAACAGTTTGGTGGCCTGAAAATGTCTGATTCATAAAACGTAGACTTCAATGTGTATAATACAATGTACATGGAGTTGAAGATGTTTGCTTGCAGAAAGCATGACCCTAATGGCAAAGAACAGTAGTTGAGTTTGTTTTAGAGACAGTTTGGTTTCCCTAATTTAACTTTGGAAGGATGGGAATTAGTGTTATATTTAAAATGATTTGAATTGAATCATATCATTTTGATATTACATACATACATACATAAACTTTATTTACCTCGAATTTAAGAGTAGCTGTAAGCTAATATCTTCAGGTGGTTAAAATGAAATAAAAAGAATAAGCTAAACTAGAGTACATGAATACTAATACATTAATGATGATAACTATTTACATATTAACATTATTTGAATATTATTATACTACTAAATTCAGTATAGTTTATATATATTTATTTTTATATAAATGTAAAAATGTAAAAAACCTTATCTTTGAATCGCAGAGTGCTCTACAATCAGATGGAGCTTTGTAAACGATTATTTAGGAAAATAAAAATTAAAACTTGATACTACAGATCTGTTTCGAAAGGAAAAGTCCTCTCTCGTCAGGTGGATAAGGCACTAGTTGACTAATGGACCTTTTAAGTAGGTGGTTTGAGCAGCCTTATCAGATATTTAGATGAGTGCCGGCACGCACTCGCCAGTTCGTTCCTTTTGTTTAGGGTACCCGCCCCTGTTCTGCATATGATAAAGAATTTTTCAGCTATGCAAAGATTGCATCTCTTCGTGGTATTTGAGTACGGCCTGGCACGAGCTATTATTTTCCAGGTCACNTTTAGACATGAGAACAAAAGGAACGCAACAGAGTTGAGCAAATATATCTGGTCCCTAAAGGATGCTGAAACGGAGTTTTCCGTGACCTGGAAAATAATAGCTCGTGCCAGGCCGTACTCAAATACCACGAAGAGATGCAATCTTTGCATAGCTGAAAAATTCTTTATCATATGCAGAACAGGGGCGGGTACCCTAAACAAAAGGAACGAACTGGCGAGTGCGTGCCGGCACTCATCTAAATATCTGATAAGGCTGCTCAAACCACCTACTTAAAAGGTCCATTAGTCAACTAGTGCCTTATCCACCTGACGAGAGAGGACTTTTCCTTTCGAAACAGATCTGTAGTATCAAGTTTTAATTTTTATTTTCCTAAATAATCGTTTATTTATTTTTATATATATTTATTTTTATGTTTATATATATTTATTTTCAGTATAGTGTATATATTTTTAGTTGTACTAAAATTCAATAGTCTATTTTTAAGTGAATTTGAATGTGATGCTCCTGATAGATTTAATGTTGCATGTAAAAATTAAATTCAGGTAAAAAAATTTTAACGTAGCTTGAATTTCAATTCTCTTTGTCTCCGAGCCCTACCTAATTGTGAATAATTAGGTCTCGGAGACAAAGGAAATTGAAATTCAACCTAGGTTAAAATTTTTTACCTGAGTTTAATTTTTACCTGCAACAGATACATGTATAAAAACCAACCCTTTGACTCCAGAGATCTCCATAGCAATTCTCCTTACTGCCTGCCATACAACTGTTATGATATTAGTATGAAGAATTTGGTATTGGATCAACTAATTATCCCCTTATTGATATTTTTCTTTATTCCCATCACTTGTCTGCTTGATGTTGTATTGTTAAAGTAAGGAGATATTCTATCTTGGTCACCTATGGGAGTGAAAGGGTCAACTGAAGTAAAACTGAAAGAGGATGTTTTAGTCAACTGACTGACATACTCTGAAATACAATCAATACTTTCTTTGATTAAAAGTGTTCTTTTGGAAAAGGGTATTGCAAACTATCAAGTCAACCTTTCAAGTTCTTACCGAGAGGATATTGCTTTTATGTTTTATAAAGGAAGCCAATACGTCAAAATGTTGGAATAACTGGAAAACAAGAGTTTGATTTCTACCAACACCCTGATGTCTTTGTTTATGTTGTTCATCTCTTTTTCATGACTTTGTTTGGTTTTACATCAATGCATGTACAGGTTGGTAAGAGCTTTTTCCTCTCAAATTTCCAGAATTTAATAAGTTAAAATTACTCTTTCTAAATTTTTCCTGTGATAGGTTTTTGTTTTTTTAGTTTATGATAACATGCTTTTGTCAGTGTGACCATTTACTGAGTCTTTAGCAGTCCCTCGTTTTTTCTGGGTGTATTGAACATGAATGAAAGTAAACTAGGTTAGCCTAAATTTAGGCTTCTGTCAGTTTTCACACTGTTATATATATTTGTCTACGTGTTGGCTCCTTTTTTTGCTCTTGCTCACTGATAACTCAATACCCTGTCAGAGCCAAATTTAGAGCCCATCAACTACTTAATGTATTAAATACACAGCTGTTGCACTTCATGCCAGTATCAATTTCTTTTTTATTTTCTCTTATCAGGTCACTACTCGATTTGTAGCCTCTGCCTCTCCAGTTATTTACTGGTATTCTGCGCATGTCATCATGAAAGAAACTTATTGCCAATCACATAGACTTGATAACAGAAAGTGGAAATCTCAGTTGATTATTGGTTATTTTTTGTCATACTTCTTCATTGGAACTGCTTTACACTGCAATTTTTATCCCTGGACCTAAAGCACTTTAACTACATTTCAAAGCCCAGATTAAATATGTTATTCCAAAACTCATTAGTGTGTGTAATGTGTTCTTATGACAATGATAATTTTTATAACTTATTTAAGCAATAGACTGCCCTTTCTCTTGGTTTGCCACCATATGGGATAATAATTGGAAGAACACGAGAAAGATTAGTGATTTACAAACTTTTCTCTTGTTCTCCTAAAATCCCAAATGGGTAGCTATGCCTGTGAGCCATTAGAAAGTATGGTCTAATGCTTTTAGAAAAAATTCTCAATACAAAACATCTTCTATGGGCATACCAGTGCGGTAAATGATAGGTTTCCACCAATCAGGGCTCTCATATTATTTCCATTGTTTTATAAATAACACTTTTTTTCTTATGCTGATCAATAGCCATTTGTGAGAAAAATCATAACCTAAAAAAGTAAACTTGCTTTGTTTCGTAACTATATAAGCAAAGTACTATGGTTGAACCTCAATTATCCAAACTTGTTGGTACTAGGTGAAATAGTCTGGATAATCAAGGGTCTGGAAACTTAAGAATATAAATATTAATGAGGAACAAAAACTGATTAAATTGAGAAAGCAGCATTTAATCATGTAACAAAACATTTGCAAATTGTTTTGAAAAAATATGTTTGCCAAACAAGCCAGTAGACCATTAAATCTCATTCAGCAATAAGGCAACTCTAAGCCAATCAGTTAACAATGCTTGCAAATGCTGCTTTTACTTTTTGAAAGTCAAACAAACCCATCCTTACTTCACTTTTCAAAGCTGTAGTTGTGAAGAGAATGTGGCAACTTGATCCTGACCAATAAGTATTTATGACAAAACTGAGACCAGAGAATAAGTCCTTATAATCAAGAAATCAAGGTTGGACTGAAATCACAATTCTCTGAATAATAAAGTAAAAAGAAAGATGAAATTATGGAAGTAGCAGAAGTACATTAAAATTCCAATATGAACAAAAACATTTTAAGTTTGTTCTAAAAGACACCAAGTGTCATGACAACACACAGATAAACTGGCAGGCTGTTCCATGAAGCTGGTGCAAGGAAAGTGACAGACATGCTGCTAAATGTTGTCTCACCTTTGTGCAAGTGAACTAGCTACTCTAGGAATTTACCCTTTGAACTCTCAATTTTGTTGGGCCAATTCTGAGAACTTGCTGGTTAGCTAGTTCATGTACAAGTATGCCCAGTGGTGTAGAACTGAAAACCATTGAATTTTTCAAAACTTGGGCAACTGGGCATGTTTAAATTGAAGAGTTTTTAGGATCATTAAGAAAAATTTTATGTTTATTTTATTTCCCACAGCAAAGTACTGTTGGGATCTGGTGTTTCTAATTGCAGTTTTCCTGGATGATTTTTTCTTCCAAGGCTGTTGAAATTTCAGTCACCATTAACAACAGTTCTTTTCAGAACTATTTTAACTCAGATGTTCACACTTCACTTAGCTATGACTTTTTTCTTGAATCAACTCTCCTTGTCCTTTATGGCAGACTAAGTAATCTGAAACAATAGTTAATGCTTGGGTTAAAACACTTTTCTTGGTTATGGCCTTAAAACGAAGAAATGATGAAATAAAAAAACCCCTTAACAGACATGATAAGTCTTTGGTTTCTTACCCTTATACTCCCAAGATCTGATTGTTAATTCTCTCCTCTATCAGCTACACATTTTTCTTGTAAATTGGTAACAAGAATTTGTTGTTCAATCATGGGAACAAGTTCTACCTGATACGTTTGAGTATTCTCACTACCTTTTAACTGGAAAATGTATGGATTTTATTAGAAGTTACATGTTAATCACTCCTGGAAGTTAAAGGGTTAACACCTCGCACATTAATATTCTCAAGAGGATTTTTTATGAAAACAGAATTTTAAACCACGAGCATATTATTGGGACAATACTGTACTTTGAAAACAAGAACTGAACCGATGTTAGCCATAAAATATCAAAGGAAACAGAAGGAGAATGACGGATTGTGCAAACTTGTTTTTCTTTGAGAAAAAACGAGATGATTTGTCGCGAAGAAACGTTGCCATAGAAACTCGTGTGGAGGGCCTGGAGCGGGAAGGTCGTTTGTAGCTTGTTTGTACTTGTCATTTGTCAGTAATGGAGATTAGGTTTGTGACAATAATTGAGCCATTTTGACCTGCTACAGGCTTATATCAAGAAAATGGGTTGCGGAACTAGCACCCCCGACAATAAAGAGGACAACAGAGGAAGCAAGTTTGATTTTACTCGACGTAACACCGAAGTCGAAAAGCCAAACGTTGTGGTCGAGATCGGGAAAGGTGTGAAGAAGATCGACCCGGAGCGACGGATTGTGTTCATATTCGGTGGGTGATATTCCTTCTTCTTTTCCTTAATAATACGCTATTGTAATTCATTGTCCTTTTACTCTGCTAGAAATATTCTATATGCTTTTCTCTGGCACAGCCGCTAAATGCTAATCACAGAAATATTTTTGATATCCAGCGGGTTCTCCCTGTTGGATGTAAACATCTGTTTGAACGGAGAAGAGCACACTCTTGACTCCTGAATTTTCTTTTGGCTCATGTGTGGCGGAGCAATTTTAACAATTTGCTTACATTACCCACCGAAAATAAGTGGCACTCTGGTTTAAAGCTGGTATTTTGTTTATGCAAGAGCGAATAAAAGGTTTTATCTCAGCAGCTTACGATCCTTGGTCATGTGAAAGTTGTTTCAAGATGGCCATTTTTTGCATTCAGCCGACCGAGAATTATTCAATTCTCGCATACAAAGACTGATTTTTACGACGATTTTAGCCATTGTTTTTATTATTACCAGAAAAAGGACCATTGATTCATCATAAATGGAGAAACCGATTTCCCTTGCTTCTATTGTGTCCTTAGATATTGGCGTACGTGCATGAGACCTATATTGATTTTGATTGTCTTCACCGCTTGCTTTTTAAGATTTTAGTTAAGCGTGATCTTCACTTCTAGTTGAAGAATAACATTAATTGTGAAATCGTATTAAAAATCTAAGGAGGAAGGTTTTTTTCCGTCCGCACAGAAATTGTTATTGTAATTTGTTCATAATCGCAAATTGTTTGAGTCACGCTCAGGTGAAAAACTTTGTTTATAAGTAAGCTGTTCTTAGCTCTTTTGCGGGAAAAATTTCCGTTTAACCCCATAGCAATCGAAAACAAAGCCGCAATCCTAAAGGTAATCTGTTGTCAATGCCTCTGCTTTCTTTTATCCAACAACTGCATGGAAAATGAAGTATGGGGTTATACGGAACTCTTGCCCTTTTTCGCTCAGTTAATTTAGCAGAGTAATTTTATATTTACGGCAGGAGCCTGATGAAGTAATATCTTTTCTCTTGCTTTAGCACTGAGAGCATTTAGTATCAAGTGCACGGATTGAACCTGTTTTTTCTTTTCTTTTTTTTTTTTTTTCATTTAACTTTAATCTGTACTCTGCAGATGCTAATAGAGTACCCATTAACACTTATCTGAAATTATGTTCTCTAGGAGTCTGTGTATTATATTTGTATGTTCATGAAAATCGTGGAAGGATTGTTTGCCATGTTTTGCAAATGTGTCAGCCAACAAAATTTGAACAATTCATTTTATCATCTGGGGATAGTGCAATATGAGATACAAATTGGAATAAAATGTTTGACCTTCCTCTCATCATGGTGTTCTGGTCACATGACAGAATGACTTTCAGTGGGCTGAAAGTGCATCTCAAAATAGTTTTAGACAAAGAATTTGAAGTCCATGCAAGGGGGGACCTTTCTTTGTTTTGTCTAGTAATTTACATGTAATTTGAGCACAATTCATAGTCTTGGGGAGCCTAATGTTATCTCTGAGCATTTTGGTTATCAGAAAGATTTTAAAGGAAAAAAAGTAACTAATTCATTTGATACTTCAGGGTTTTTTTTTTTTGTGGTTCAAGATACTGTGATTATTATACATTGTAGTCACCATCTGTCTTCTCATTGGCTAAACACCCACAGTTAATTCTGGGAAACAGCGCAATCTACAGATTATTCACTAATCTGTACCTACAGATTAGTGAATAATCTGTAGGTTGTGCAGGCAATGCATGATTTCTGGTGGAGCAATGTCAAGTTCACGGACAACGAAGTAAGAATGGCTTCTTTATTTGCTTCATCGACCCAGTGAGAAATTGAGAAATTACTTGAAGATAAAGATTTGGAAAATACTAAAAGACTGACGAGAGTGGCGAAGCAACTGTTCTACGAATACCTTAAAGAGAAAAGTATCCAGGAGCCACACGACAAAAAGGAATTAGCCCAAGTGTTGAAATCTTTTTATGTGGAAGCACGAAAAAAGGATGGATCGTTTTGTTTGAAAATAAAACTGTATTAGCTGTGATAATGCATTTGGCGTTGTTTTCTTTAAAACAATGTATAATAAAACAATTATTGGATTCAGTTTTTGTACATGATATCTGGAATAATCAAGGTCTCAGATAGTGTTATCAGCCTCAGCCTTTGGCTTCCGCTGATAACACTTACCTCGACCTTGATTATTCCGGATATCACAAAAACCTCATCCAATAATTGTTTATAATATATATTAGTCTGTTCCCAGGATTTGGAACAGGGAGATATCAGCATTAGTATTTTTATCTATAACATTGTACTTTACTTTGTTCTTGAACTTAAAATGAATGCATTTAGATGTGACTGTCACTTATGACTGATATGCAAGAAATTTTAGCAAACTGAACTGAAAGTTGTTTTTACCATCAAGGTCACTGTAAAGGTTGTGGTGTTAAAGGGGAACTCCAGGGTATTTTTGAAGTAATTTGTATTATTGACCTGTTTCTTCTGTCTCGATTTTTGGTAACCCTTTTTGCTAGC